CCTCATCATTCATACACCCTGACCCGCGTTTTCCGGGAAGCTGTGTTCGCTTTATCTCCTTACCGCTCCCCGCGAAGGCCCTCACGCCTCGCTCTTCTGGCCGCCTCCCCTGCCCTTTACTCTGGAAGCTGTCGTTTTCCCTTCTCTTCCAAATGCAGTGGCGGCGAGATCGTCTTCGGTTCGGGATGGCACTGAGCGAAGGGGTGTAGTCGTGGGGCGCTGGCTGCTCACGGTGGTTGCTCGGGAGTTTAAATTGTTGGGTGTGATGTGAAATAATTCTCTCTTCTAGTTGCTTCTACACAACTTTATTTTTAATTATTCCGTGAATTTTGAAGTTTATTTATATATATATATATTTTTAAAATTTTGTAAGAACGAAAGGGGGTCAGCTTTTGAAGCCATCGTTTGGATATTTTAAGGTTACGCAACATTCCTCTTTTTTGCATTTCTTTATGTTATCTTATTTCTGTATCTTAATGCAATTTATTATTTTATTCTCCACCTATCAGCTTTGTCAGTATCAGTATACAAAACTAAAATAAATACTTTAAAAACGGTGAATACTTTTCCATTCTACACTTTCACGTTACTCCATATGTATGTTTCTTTACTTTACTTAAATTTGTTCATTCACTCTACGTAATGAATGTGGGCATGCCCGCAAAATAATTTTCTTATCTAATTGCTTCTTCACAACTATTAATTTTTAATTATTGTTCCGTGAATTTTGAAATGATTATTTATGTTTTTATTATATTGCGACAACAAAGGGTAGTCAGATTTAAAACTTTTGAACCTATCAATTGGATTTTATAAGATTATGAAACTTTATTTTTCAGTCAATTTGTTTATATCTTAATTTCGTATCTTAATGAAATTTATAATTTCATTGTCTGCCCTTCAGCTTTATCAGTTTCAGCACACCGGCTGAAATAAAGCGGTGAATACTTTTTGATGGTATTTACTTTCACACTACTGCATACAAATGTATTTACATTATTTCATTTTGTTGAACCTTTCTACAAAACAGGACACAGAATTGCCGTTTTCCATGTAATTCTCACGTTCAACCCTCTACTCTTGAGCTCTCTATAGTACTGGATTGCACCTCGCGCCTACGGACACTCACATTACTGTACTCCCATTTTAACCAATCTCATCTCGCTGCGAGCCGTTCCATTCGCCATTGTCGAAACCACGGGCGGCTTCAACTAATTCCAATCAGCGGGACTGTCGTGCCCGGTTTCGCTCCCGTGGTCGCACAGCCGCGCCGCGCTGGGGTCATGGTCGCCAGGACCGAGCGGGTAGAGCGAACAGTGATACCGCAGAAAGAAGTGAGAGAGCTACGTGTGGTTGGTGGTGTCGTTAGGGGCAGCGGATGTCGGGAGAGAGTGCGAGATTGATTCATTGTTTCGTGTTTTCTGGCGCGTCAACGGCTAATGTCATTAGTCCCGTAAACGTAGTGCATGTTTTTGTCGAGGGAGGTGGCGGTGACCTAGATGTTCGCTTGGGAGGGAGAGTTCCCCAACTAGTCATCTTCCGACAGCTAGACAGCCCCGCAGCCGGGTCAAGCTCTAAGCTGTGGGGTGGTGTTTAAGTGTGTGTAAGTAAGGGGTGAGGAGAGGACAATGAATGGGAAGGAAAGATCGCGCGCGGTCTCTCGCCCGTTTGTTAGTACACTGCTCTGGCTTTCACTGGCATTGATAGGAGAAATCACGGAAAACTACCGATCAGAGCAGCCGGCCGCTAGGATTCTCCTCCCGACTGACTGAACTCGACCAAGCCATCAAACCACTGTTGAAAATCCTGTCACCGTGGGAACTCGAATTCTTGGTTAGTGGCATAAATTGATTCCCTGAGTCATGTAAGCCAATGTGAGAGGCATGAGATAAGAAGCTACAACTGGAAGGTAAGTGGTGAATGAAGATATCCGAGTCTACTGATGAGATATCAGATGCGAGGAGAGTAAAGTGATATGTGAGGCTAGGAGAAACCTGAGTGGTAGAAGTTGAGATATTAACGCGACTAGATTATTAGACTAGATTCAAAGGGAAAGAGCCACAAAACTAGGCGTAAACGGCGTAAAACGACGAGTAAGATATATTACGTGCGAGGTGAGACTTAAAGCTCAGATGTGAGAAGAAACATTCGTAAATGAGGCAAAAGGTAGAGAAGAAGGGTTTTATCAGAAGACAAGGGCCAGACAAGGATGAGAAGTAGCGCTGGGAGCTGGAGATGAATGTTGAGAAGCAAGCGCCAAACGACAGGCCAGAGGCAAGAGCCAAACGATAGTCCAGAGGCTAGCGCCTGGAAGTAATTCAGTCTCAAGATCCAAACGATAGTCCAAAAGCCAGATATTGGAAATAGTCCAGAGCTTGAAGCCAAGAGGTAATTGAGAGGCAAGGTCCAAGAGATACTGCCGAGCCAAAGAGGTTCAGAGGGAAGAGCCAAACGGTAGTCCAGTGTATAGAAAAACGATAGTCCAGAGGCTTAAACCAAGAGGTGTCAAGAGCCAAGAGATAGTACAGAGGCACGAGCCCAAAGGAGACGAGTGGCTAGAGACAAGAGACAGCAGACGCGAGTCGAATCCCACGAGGCGAGAGAGGTAAGCGCGGCGAGCCGGGGAGCGTCGCGTCGGGAGGTGGCGCGCGTGGGGTGGGCGCGGAGGGGCTCCTGGCGGCGCAATCGCTGGCGAGCGGTTTAATCCCGCGCTCCTCGTTTGCTTCGCTTCCGGCAGCGCGGCCACCGGCCATCCCGCCCCTCCCCATCCCAACCACCCCGCCCGGGCCGCCGCAATTACGGCGCCAGGTTAATCCCGTGCCGCCCAGCGGGACGACGTGGAGGACGGGGCGGGGCGGGACGGCACGGAACGGGCGAAGTCCCGCCTGGCCTTCGCGCCGCTAATGAAGCCGGCCGCCGCCGCCGCCGCCGCGACCGCGTCGTCCTCTGTCACGCTACACCCTCGTGCCAACGGCTGGCCCCGGTGCGCTGTCGACGCTTCAGCGACGTCTCATCGCCGCTTACGTCGCTCCACGTGCAGTCAATCTCCTCGCCGGCTGCTCCCGATGCACCCGCTACCCCGATGGCTGGGCTCGCCTTGATGCGACCCCGTTCCGCTCCCTTCGTATGGACGGCCGGTGATTGTCCTACGTACAGCTGTCTTCATGTTGCCTCTTGGTTTTACAAGGGGTTAATCTGACGTAAGTAGAACGACTTGCTGAAACCGCTCGTGTTCCTTCACCGCAGTTCACACCCTCGCTTGATTGTTTAACGACCGATATTCGATTTACTAAAAAAGAAGGTTCGTAGTTGCAGAGTAGGTGAAGGAGAAATTTAAGAAATTTGGCTCCTAGGGGAAGAGATCTCAGAGTACACAACGCAAATGTAAGTGCTTGATTATTAGTGCTACCAGATACAGTGTCACCATTGGAAACCTTTTTGAGTAGTTATCCTTAACATTATGCTTCGGTGTAATTCACAAAGACAAGTATAAATGCTATCGAGCCCTTGTATTGTTGCTACATAAAAACTTTCCTTTCTTTAATTTTGGCGAAAATTTGTATCTTCGTCCCACGTTTACCTGGCGCCTATTATATATGAACCGCTCATCGTAGAAGTGAGATTTAGATTTATTTAGTCAAAAACAGTAAAAACTGTATGTGACGTATGGGGGAGAAGATTATCTGCGCACGTTTTCTTGCTTGAAGATTGATTTTTCTGCATTGCTAGCAAAATAGTAACTGGCCCTCACCTCTACTCTTACCATCGCAAGCAAAAGGAGAGTTCGACAAAACGTGCGCATAGTGAAGCTACATTTACGTCCAGAAGCAAAACAAGGGACCATCTCAGCATTTGCTCAATAGATGAGGGATACTGGACAAAAACCTGATCGAGATGGGAGCCATTGACTCGGAAGCTGAAGTACATTATTTGTTACAAACATATTAAGTCTTGAAGATAGAAATGGAGTAAGAGTGTAATGAAGTCAGATTGAAATGGAGGTGAAGGGACTTATGTAAGGTAACTTCTAAAGTAACGATTGTAGCCGTGCCAAGTAGGCGTGCATCGTCAGTAGATTGTCTGCTGCATCAGCAGCTATTGTAAATAGTGTCGCCGTTGGCGTCTGGGCAAGCAACGGGAAGCTTTATGAGCGCTCTCGGATTTCTGCCGGAGTGAAACTGCTCTTCGACTCACTGCCCGGCGCCGCCGTCTGGAAAGTTCTGCTTTGCGGGCGCTGCCTGAAATACCGTCTGTCGAATGTCACTCGGCTGCCCGTGGTGCGACGCTCGCATTCCAACTCTTCGTACCGCGGTTCAAATCCCGGTCGATCCTTATAGGGTTTGTGGAGGACAAAAGTTTGTTGTTTTTTCCCTCTTCAAATTTCCCCGTTTCTCTTCCCTCCTCATTCCGTCTTCGCTCCACTATCATGCGTATGGTAACATCAAAATCTTTCATCTACTCCTATGGCACAAGGCTTTGGAACTGGCATCATATTCAAGATGGCCGATCGCAAGTGGAAGTTGAAAAGAATGTGATGATTTTCAATCACTTGCAGGAAACAGTATTTGTCTCGTATAATGCTTCAGTTTGGTCACTTTATCCCTAGGGACAGTAGTTGAAATGTTTTGCGAATAACCTGACGAAATGATAAATTTCAAAATAATTATAGGAATGAAAGCATTGAAACAAAATACTTTAGTTGAAAGTTTCAGATCTTCGTTGTTTATTAATTAAACGATATTGAAGTGGTTGAAAATCAGTAATAATACGTTTTCGGCAAGACCGCTTTGTTTAGAGCGCACCCATTTTAATGTTTTATTACTACCCTTTGAATGCCAGGCGTACACTAATAAGAAGGTTGCGTAAATAGAATTTAATCAAGCGTATCCCTACTCTATTACGTGCTGTGTACTGTTCCACCGTGGTTGGCTGCACCCCCTATCAACAATGCGTAATCACATCTAGTGAAACCGGAGATTAGTAATAGCCTGAGGGAATGTCTATACTGCATGGGTCTTGTTGGCAACGCCGCTCCTACCACCGCTACCGCCCTCGGGTCTGCCAGCGGCACCGCTGCCCTCGCTTTCACCACCGCTACCACCACCCTCCCTAATGGCAACGCCGTCTTCCCTCGCTACCACTGAACAGTCTCCGCTTCCAGCTACGCCCAAATTAGTCGCTCCCGCCACCCTCTCGATCGCCTTCCGCGTTCCTTGTTTCTCTTGCAGTGGCTCTGACCTGGAGGTCCTAAGGTTGAATTGAATTGATGTCTGATTTTTGTGTCTTATTTTATGCAATCAGGCTCACTCTTTTGTCTGGCCACACAAATTTCGTAACGCTCCTTTTACCAACTAGCCGAGAAAGTAGGTATTTCTTGGGTCACCAAATAGGCGATTTTAATTTAACTCAGTGGCTTCATTTAGGCTTGATCTTTTACATGCAGTAAATCTACCCGCAAGTAAATCTACGAACATGGGACATCCGGCTTTATTTCCTCTCCGAAGGAAAGCGTACATTTTTTCGCCCTAAAAATCCACGGCTTCGATCTGGTTAGAACACACGAAACAGTCCGATACGCTAACCTTTATACCAGGTTCGAGTCCGGACGGCAGTGATAGCCCCAAAGGTACCTGCCATCTAAAGGCCATCTAGCGGGAAAGATCGCCTCTCACAAAAACTGCACTTACGGGATTAAGGACTTAGCACCTGGGGCCTCGTGCACGCCACCGCTGCAGCCGTCCCCGCTGTCGCTCCTCGTCCGTACAACCGTCCCCACTGCCCTACAAGCGCGCCTCGGCCCCGAGGGGCGGTGGATGCGGGCCGGGCCGGGGCGCGGCAGGGCGGCATTTGGCCGGCGCCTTTGGGACCGGACACAATTAGCCGCCAGGTGGCGCAAGCTCTTCCCCCTCTCCGCCGCCGTCCCCGGCTTCACCACCGTACCCCAGGGCCCCGCCGCGCGCCACGCTACACCGCACCCGATAAGGACGACCGCGCGACGCCACGCGACAAAAAGACCGCGCCCGCCTCCCCGGAGGCCAATTGCGAGCGTGGCGGCCCGGGGACGTCTTGGCGCCTGGCTCCGGAAGACCCGGGCTCTGGGAAAGCGAGATTGATGTACCGATCGGGAAGCAATGGAGACGCGAGAAAATCTACGGTGAGGGGGGAAATATGTGGCGTTCTAAAAGTTTTATTTGTGTATGCCAGTTATCCAGCAATTATAGAGGAATAAGAAAGCAACACTTAACAGGTCGGGAATCACTTGGACGTTATGCAGAACGAGTTCATCACAAGAGTTATGAGCCATTGACAAACGAATGAAGCCATTTACAAACGAGCTAACGTACTGACAAAATGAGTGCATGAACTTAACCTGCAGTTATGTTGCTAGCAATGGCTAAGCAGTCCCTGTCAAAGCGGTCCCTTCGTATTGTAATCACTCTATATTTGTGAAGGATCATTCAGTTTTCCAAATGCCCTTGCTAGGATCATCGATGTGAAAAATGAAGATGTGAGATTTAAAAAGCGTGTCTGAAACGCACTCTGAAAAAATAAGTCTAAATCAACAGCTTTTATACTTTGATTTGAACTTGTGTATACTTTTCGATTGTAAAAATATTTAGGTTATTTGCCAACTGCTTGTGAAGTTGCACTTTGGCAACCGAATTGCGTTTCTAAAGAACAACCGGGGAAGTCCCTTACGAAGGAGTGTCGCAGTTCTTGGAACGCCGGGGCGGCGAAGCTGCAGTTAAGTTGGCGATGTCGTTACGTGCGCGCACCTTACACGTATTAGATCCTTACAAAGCGCGTGGAGCAGAGGGTCGCTCGCGAGGAAGCGTGACCTGTGACCCGGCGGTTGGCGCCGTGCAGCGCCGTCGATATTCCGGCGCCGTTGCCCAAGCCCTCGTCCTCACCCTCGTCGTCCTCGCCAGCGTCGTCGTCGTCGTTGGCGCGCTTACGGCGGGATAATGAAGCGCCGTCGTTAGAGTGCACCGCGCCCTCCTCCCTTTACGCCTTCCTCGCCGCCTCGCTTCCTCCCCGCTCCCGTCCTCGCCCCCGCTCTCGGATTTCCCTTGAGCACCCACCCCGCCTTACTCCGCCCCGCGCCTCGCGGCTCCTCCCCGCCCCGCCCGCTGCGAGCTGTGGGCCTCCGCGCCAGGCAACGGGGCACATATTTTTGGTAGTTGCATTGAATGTAATGTGTGCTTCATGAGAAAATCCTTGCTGACGGGTGTGGAAGTTCATCGGTCACTTCTTGATGGATGGCAGTGAGGGGGGGATGTGACGTAAATAAAGAGGACATACGGGACTTAATCTCTCGTTTTAGTTATTTAAATCTCGAATGAAAATGAGAGTTGTTCGGAAATAATAAGAAATCTGCTCCAAAACCGGTTAGAGGAGCGTTAGGTCAACGCCTTAAGTGTGGAGCGTACCGGCGATTGGCGAGCGTACCGTCGGTTCTCGTCAATGGCGAGAATTTTCAGTCACATGTCCAGCATAGGTTAGTTTGTGTCACTTGCCGCCATTTAATTCGTAGTCCATCTACCGACGTGGTATCGCTGATCATTTCCAGGCGTACGCCAGAATAGTACCCGCCTAGGAAACGGCTCAGGAGACCTTCCTTCTGTATCCTGTCTTCGTTCCTCATCCTCAAAGTCGAGAGATGGGCTAATCTCCCACTCTCGACGCATCCCCCACTAATCTACATAAATCTTCATCTTGTGTCTGAGATAGACGAAGGCAGAACTGAAAGGTCACTTGATTCGTACAAAGAAGATTAATAAATTGTGGCTGTGTATTAAAGATAGCTGACGTGTTGGTCAACGTCGGAACTCACGTTCCAATTGAGAAGGAATAAAACTACGTCCCGGATTATGAAAAAGCTTAAGCACGGCGAACCGCTACAGCATATCGTCAGCAATATGAGGATCAGTAGGGGTTGACGTCGAGAATGAGGTTTTTGCAGAAACGTGTAGGTCGAAATGGAAGAAATTCAGAAATGTAATGACAGAGTGCAGTTAATTCCCATAATGCCACGGGACTTAGCAGTTTACGCGCCCGGAATCGACAATCAATCAAATCGGCAGTTATGTTTGGAATCATCAATCATATAGGCAGTAGTCGCGCCCAGATTCATCAATCAATCAATATAATAGTTGTCCCACCTTGATTCGTCAATAAATGAAGTGGGCAGTTGTCGCTCCCGGATTAATCAATCAATCATATAGGTGGTTGTCGCACCCGGATTCATCAATCAATCAATAAAAACAGTTGACGCGCCTGGATTAATCAATCAATCAAGGAACTGGGCAGTTGTCGCTCCCGGATTAATCAATCAATCAAATCGGCTGTTGTCGAGCCCGGATTCATCAATCGATGACATAGGCAGTTGTCGGCCCCGGAATCAAACCTCTCAAACCGTCTCACTGGATGCGCTCGGGCCCACTGGCGGCGTTGGCAACGGACCCTGCGGGAAGCATGCGGCACAGCACGGCACGGCGCGGCGCGTCTTGGCGAGTTGGTGCGCGCGTCACGTGGGCGCTCGCTGGTGGGGAGGGGTGGGGGTGAGCGGGGACCCTGACGAACTTCCGACCTCCTCGCCCGGGAAGCGCGCGCTCGCGCGTATGGGGGCGACGGGAGTCCCTGGGGGCGGGGGCGGGGGCGCGCGCTGTACGAAGCAGCTCTTCCGAACGAATCAAAGCGGAACGTTGGCCCCCCAACACCGCGAAGGGGAACTCTTTACGGGCACCGGCGCCGCCGCCGGGGTTGCAGGGAGGTAGTTAGCCGGCTGCTGAAGATGACTTGGGGTAGGAAAGTTCTTTTTAGGGGAGGGATTGTTTTAAGAGGGAATTATACGTGTTTGATGAGAGTTTTTGCGACCAACCTAACTTTTGTTACGCGAACTTGTTGGGTAGGGTTTGATGTCTTGTTTGTTGCCCATTCTGCCTCTCTTTTCATCCCCATATTTCTATCCTTCACAATTTTGTTCTTACTGTATTCCTCGTCATTCCATCTGCTTCGTTCCTTTATCTTATTTTTCCTTTTTCTGATTTTTTTTTCCTCTCCGTCTTTTTATTCTCACACAAGTTTTTCCTAATTTCGGTTGACATAGGTATACACACACACACGTTTCACACAGCTCTGGTTTCGTCTCTCTTTTACATTTCTTTCTGATAGTCAGTATTTATGTCTACCCGCCTGCATAAGTTTAACGACGCTATATTTCGGCTTGTCCCAATTTTGTTTACTATCTGCTACAAATTGTACCTAGTCCATCCTCGTGTCTCTCCGTTCTAATATGTCTTCCCCTTTACTTTCTTCCCCTTTACTTTCTTCCCCTTTACTTTCTTCCCCTTTACTTTCTTCCCCTTTACTTTCTTCCCTTTTACTTCCTTCCCCTTTGCTTTCTTCGCCTTTACTTTCTTATCCCTTACTTTCTTCCCCTTTGCTTTCTTCCCCTTTGCTTTCTTCCCCTTTGCTTTCTTCCCCTTTGCTTCGCTTTTATTTTATTCCCCTTTCCTTTCTTCGCCTTTCCTTTCTTCTTCGTCGTCGCCGCCTCCGCTTTGTCCCCCGAAATTCCTCCTCCCTTCTGGCCTGGTGCGCGTCTATGCTCTGCGCCAAGTACCCCGCCCGCAGAGGAGTTTTCTTGGAAAATCTCGCGCGATGTCGTCGTCGTCGTCGCCTCCTCGTCGAGCGGTGCCAACCCTGGAACTAACTCGCCTCGCCTCGACTCGTGTCGCGTCGCCGCGCCGCCTCGCAAATGTAAACGCAACAATTCGCCGCTTTGTCTCCGCGTTAATCCGCGAAAGGCGCTTTGCCGCCGCCTTGCCGCCGCCTTGCCCCCTTTTCCTGCTCCGCCGAAGCCTCCTCCGTCTCTCGTGACGACTCATCCTTCTCCTCGTTCCCCTTCTCCGACGTTGACAACATTTCGTGTATTATTTACCATTTGGTTTGTATAATTCTAAAGAACCTGTAACAAGTATTGTACTTCTGCTTCTGGGTCAATGACCCCCATCTCGATCAGGTTTTTGTCCAGTTTCCTTGATCCTCGAGCAAATGGCCCCTTATTTTGCTTCTGGACATAAATGTAACTTCAAATTAACTTCTCCCCATACCACGTCACACACAGTTTTTAACTGTTTTTGACGTAAATAAATAAATAGTTGCTGGCGCGTCCGCCACCTTCTCCTCGCTCCTGTTCCCTTTTCTCGCTGCTGCATCCTCCTCCGTCGCTGATCCCTCCCCTACCTCCTCTCGTTTAAGCGTTTAACCGGCTTCGTGGCCAAAGCATCAACCCGACACTGCTGTGCCTCTCACCGGGAGGTCGTAGGGAGACAGGATTTTCGACACTTGCAAGATAGCTGGGTCGAATTCATTCGCTGCCTAGAAGGGAATTCTAGCGGTCGACTACTCTGTTTGGTAGTTTTGTTTGGTTTCTGCGATTAATACCAGGCGAATGCCGACACTGTACCGTATGAAACGGGACACGGACTACGCGCGATCTTTCCGTTCTCTTCTTTATCTTATCCTAACCCCTTACATATAGACACAGTGTACTAACATGCAGTACACTGCCACACATGTCGGAAGAGCAGTCTGGAACTTCGAGCTTGTTCCGCTTGGTGCGGTGCCCAGACCAGGAGAAACCTGAAGTCGTAGGCTTTCGCGGCAAGTGGCATGTGCATGATCTTGGTTGTCTGGGTGACGCCGCGTCGAAGACTGTGTTGCCGACATTTCGACCTTCTTGTCGTGGTCTTCCTCGGGGCTGGTGCGGAGAAACCTGCTTGAGGATAACCTCGCTAGTCGGCCTGTTGGTCAGCGCCGAATCTCACCATCCAACGGGGGAGTCTGCCGAGGAAAACATTCATACACTAACGGGACTCATTATCCTACTAGTTCACTCCCTCTTCTATTTCTACCTCTTCTTCCTCCGCCTCATCGTTGTTCTCTTCCCCCTCCTTTCTGTTTCTCTGTCGTCTCATCTTATCTTCAAGCGTATTTGCTCCTTGTCTTCATCCTTCCCCCCTTCATTCTCTTTCCCGGGCGCTGCCGCTAGAGCTTTCTGGGACGACCGCCGTGTTCTGTCTTTGAGACATGGCGGCGGTCCTTTCTGAAGAAAACAAAGAAACCAGAAGTATAAGCTTTATAAAGATGCCAGAGGCGAAGGCAGGAGATGACGGTGGAGTGAAGGGTCAGATCTGCCTTGGGCTACTGGGCGCTTTGCGAGAAACTGAGGATTCTTGTTTGAGGATGCCGTTTGGTTGAATTGCCACTACAAGGCCTGTGCCACAGGAGAGCAATGACGAGCGAATAGTAACGCACGTCGTAGATTAACACTATCTTATGCGGAACGGCCAAAGCGCTCGTGTGCCTTTTTGCATGAAATATTGTTATTTTACGACGCGCGTCAACACAAAACTTGTGTGTAGGGGTACTAAAACACAATAGAAAAAAAGTAAAAGAAAAAAAGAAAAAAAAACTCTTAGTAGCTCATTTCCATCTTCTGATTTACTATTATTGGTTGCTAAACTAATATAATACGGAACCTGGAGGACAAGCCATGCCTGCGAAATTACAAAACATGAAATTGGGAGCGCCTTTGTTTACAGGGGAATGACTAAAAATAAATAAATAAAATCATTTTGAGAAGAATAGTCAAAATTTAGGACGGTACACGTTTAATGCTAGTGGCGAGAAAGCTTAGAGATATTATGCGAGTATTGTGTAATACGATACAAGAGGCTCCTGCATAAATTTGTATCTACATTACTTTCGTTCTGAGCGAGTATTATTTACTGTTTATCACATACTAGTTTATTACTATTACTATTACTTTCTAGTTTTGTGAGGGAGTATTATTTACCAGTGCGATAACATATTTAAAAGGAACTGAACAAAAGTGTCGTAACTATGCAATTGCAATGTTTATTTGGAATTGCGATATTTACGGACGGATTTTAATGAAATGTATTTTTTAATTTCACTTTAGAAAGGTGCCCTTGAGTGTAGACATTCATTTGATGTTATGACAAAAGGATGTGGCCCATTTTTATGACTTTTTTTCGTTTTTTGTCGAGTTTGACTAATAAGTCATTGTTTACATTATCGTCGTTTTTAAAGCATTTTCGATTACATAATTGATTTTAATAACATTGTGATGGTACCAGCTTCAAAAAATACTTCGATTTCTTCACTCAGAAATAATAGTTCCAGCCGTTGTATGTAATGTCGGGTTCCTGTGACACCTATCAGCGACGAAGTCGGTTCAGCTGATTTCCGATAAAGAATTATAGAGCTATTTCCTGATAAAGAACTCTTCAAACGAAAAGTTTTGCAAACGGAGTTCACGTGAACAAAAGAGAGAAGCATCGATTACATCAGTAACATATCCAGAACAAAATGTGAGTTGTTCATCTGAACTGGTTTTGGTAATTTTTAAACGTAATTTTTATTTGCTCTCTTAGTATTTTAAAAACACTTTAAGAGCATTTTATGGATCATTTATGTCATCATTTTAGGACATCAAAATCCGCCCTCTTTGCGATCATACATCAGTGTCATTATTCTCGTGATGAGGCGAAGTTCAAACTTCAGCTGTGGGTGGACGTTAATGTCATTTTCAGTGGCGGAAAACTGTTTCGCGAAAGCGAATCTGTTTTGTCGAGGTCGAATTCGGTTATAGAGTTAACGG